GAAAGTAGGGTGTGATTCCAGCAGTCTCTCTCTCTCTCATACACACTCCCTGATACTCCTCAACCAGAGCTGTGTCTGGACAAGGGCTTCTGTCTGGGCAGTCCTGTCAGCCGTGGTGGATGCAGAAAAAGGCTTTCTGCCAGGTAGATACCACTGCTCCCTGGTGAAGCTGGCAGGGCTCAAGTGCTGCTCCTGCACAAAAAGTCACGCCACGTTGGAGGTGCTCCTGCTTGTTGCCACTCCCCAGGAGCTTCTTTTACAGGTGTTGGGGGGAGGTCTTGCCTGCCACTGCTCCGGACTCCGCCCAGATCCCATCAGCGGCTGCGGGCTCCTGGTGGCTCTCGGCTCTCCCGACACTGCCCCACTTCAGGAAGCCCCTCTGTCCACCCCACTACAGGATTCTGCTGCTGATTGTGCAGAGCCGGCACTGCTCAGCACCAGGATTGCTCACTTCAGCGACTCAGCACTGCATGACACTTCAAAAGCTTCTAACAAATCTCTGCTGATTTGCCAGAATTCCCTATATCGCTACCCTCACTCTCCTCAATTATTTTTCCTCCTTGCAGTGACAACTCTAGAGAGCACTGAAACTGGTGCAGGCAATCCAAAACCACTGCTAACGCAACCAAAGTCATGATTCAGTAAGAATGCTCTGACAAAGAATCAGGCGTTCCTTCTACTAGAACAGAAACGAAACTGAATGCAACTAATAGTTCAGCCATTTGACCTGGTATCACTATAGACTGTATCAGGATTAAGCTTTACAGCTGCTAGCAGATTGGACCGTATTTTCAACAGCCTCAGTCCTTCCCTCTCCAAAAAGTAGCACTTACTTCATTTTTTTGAGCGTGGTCCAGAATTTCATTAAAAGTTACAAATGTGTCATTTCCACGCACCGGGTCCTTCTCCAAATAGCCAAGATGAATATCAGTAGCAACTAGTATTTTAAAGGTATCTTCATCATTCCTGAATAAGACAGGAAAACTAGTGTCAGAGAGCAATACACATAGGGAATTTCTACACAGCTTTTACTAAGGTAAGCTTATCTGTCCAAAGTCATGAAACACAGAGATTTGCCATAAAACTCTACCAAATATCAGTCCTGTAAAAGTCCCAAAATACTTCACGACTTGTATTGCAAATAGCATATTGCCAAATATGCCAGTTGGAAGATTTATCCCAGTCATTCTGCTCCAGTAAAGGGAGCAAGCACACCTCTGAAGTATCTAATTAAAAACTAAAGAGCCCTTTGTATATTTTTTGGGTTTTTTAAATACTTGTTGAACAGTCTAATTCTCTCTTTGCTCTGGTAATCTAGACGCGCCTGAAGGCAAGCATGGTGATCATAAGGAACAGAGGGAAAACACAGCTGATGATCACAGCTCTCGTCCCAGACACACAAAACACTTGCTGCCCGATGTGCCAGGCCTGCAGGGAGCTGCAGACAGCGGGGGCTTACTGTGAGCTGACGGCGCTCATCCTGGTGCCGAGTTCTCCCGGGAAGGCTCTGGCACAGCGCTGCCAGCTCAGGGACTCAGCTTCTCTCTTCACAGGCGCTACGCGAAGCGCCAGAGACCACCCCAGGCGCGGTGCCAGGGCAGGGGCACAGCGAGGCGCGATCACACGGGACGATCACTGCCGCCGCTGCATCTCCCGTTCCCGCCGCCCTCGGGCCGAGCTCCGCCCCCGGCCCGGCCCGGCCCGGCGCGTTCCGTCACGTCCGGCGGCCGCGCGGCCCGGAAGCGCTCGCCGTGCCGCGCCGCGCCGTGCCGTGCCGTGCCGTGCCGTGCCGCGCCCCCCGCAGCCCCGGCGGCGCGGGCACCTCCGGTACCGCAGCGGGGCCGGGCGGGGGGCGCTCGGTGTGTCGGGGCCTGCCCGGCGTGATGTGAGCCCCGCGGAGGGGAGCGGGGCCGGAGCTCCGGGCTGGGCTGCCGGGGCGGAGCGGAGACTCTGCCCCACAGAGTCTTTGTTAGTAAAGGGAGCAGCGTTTCGAGTGCACTCGGCAAACCCCGCGCAGTGCTGCACTGCACTCGGAAGGTGGTGCCGTTCGGGGGTCGGGGTAACACGGTGCTTTTCTAGCGTGGATGTTACCTGTGAGTTCTGGCAGAGCTGGCAAAGCCCGGGTTAGCGGAGGATCACTGAGTTTTCCCTTGAGCTTTGCCGTTTGTTAACATCAGCATCATGTATCAGGTCGTTTTATTGACAGTTTGTGCACCGGGAAAAATTACAGTTGGCATAAATGCTGTTTTACATCTGCTGCTCACAGATGCTGGCTGAAAATGAATAAAGACAAGCAAGCTGATGAAGACGATGATGACAGCGACCTGTTTGAAGACTTCACCGAGCATTTTAACCAACTTGAACTGCTGGAGACGCACAGGCATTTGATTCCTGTAGGAACTCAGAGCTGTTGGTCAGGACAGTCTGATGATGATGATGATGAGCAAGAAAGAACGGAGGAATGGTACGAAATGCAAGAAAAGAAAATGGAAAAACATCCAGAGAAATTGCTGCTCTGGGCTGCTGAAAACAATCGGGTAAGGCACTTGCTCTGTTGATATATATAATTTACAAGAATGTTATTTTGAGCACATGTCTGTAGTCTCATCCACAAAGAAAAATTTACCCATACTTTTATTTCTTTCTCTGAGCTGTTTGGATCTGGTATGTAAACCATCGACCTTTGTAGCCCATACACACTAAAGCATCTCTGGATCCATTGGCTTTTAGAACAAATTTTGATTCCAGTTCAAAATTCAAGTAACAGCACTTTAATTTCTATCAACTGAAAGCCTCCTAGGCTCTTCATGGCAAATAAGCCTTGTAACTGGGGTGGAGAGGCTGTATCTGAGATTTTATAAGTGCTTCTGGCACTGACAGAAATTGCTTTTCCATTAAACTTCAGGACCATCAAAGCCATGCATCTTGTTTCATAGAATCACATGAAGTTCCTTGTTTTCTTGCAACAGCTGAGTACCGTGAAGAGGCTCCTGACGGAAAAGCTGGCTCCAGTGAACGCTCGTGATGAAGATCAATACACTCCTCTCCATCGAGCTGCCTACAGCGGGCACTTGGATATTGCACACGAGTTGGTGGCCCAGGGGGCCGATGTCCACGCGCAGACCGTGGACGGCTGGACGCCCCTGCACAGCGCCTGCAAGTGGAACAACACCACAGTGGCCGAGTTCCTGCTTCAGCAGGGTGCAGACATCAATGCGCAGACAAACGGTCTGCTGACACCCCTGCACATTGCTGCAGGGAATAAAAACAGCAGGGAAACCCTTGAGCTCCTGCTGATGAATCGCTATGTGAAGGCAGACTTGAAAAACAACTTGGATGAAACTGCTCTTGACATTGCAAGGAGGACTGATATATATCACTACCTTTTTGAAATAGTAGATGAGTGCATAAACACTGTGTCCCCATAAAAGCTTGTGAATGTGAGGTTTTCTGCCTCTTTCTTGTTAGTGTTCTGCATGCCTGTCGGTGGTGGTGTGTCTCTTTGCAAAGAGGTTTTAACGTAAGATATTTCAGTATTCTCAGGCGAAATGTCACTTCCTGCAGCGCAGTTCAGTGGTCACGCTCGTACTTTGAAGCGTTACTGCTGTTAGTCAAGGTGGTCAGAAAGTCTCAGTAATTTCTGTGAGTGTCTGTTTAATAAGTGCGGATTTGGAGAGGCCTTTCTAAGTTGCCTGTAGGGTCAAAACAGGAGGGAAAACTGGAATGTTTACTTGATGTGAAAAAATTCTGGCTTGGTTATGCAGACTTTATTACAGCTCACTTGAAAATTATTTTTGAGAAATTCTAACTTTTTTAAAATTGCATGAAAGCTCAGAATGAATGTAACTTATTTGGGTGATACACAAAATGTTTAATGAATCTAATGTAAGGCTTATTATAAAATAAAATATTTAACCCAAAGTATTTTGTTGTATTTTTAATTGAAAGCCCATTTGGGCTTTTCCGATGCAATCGCCTGCTCATAAATCAAACACATTATTCATAGGATAGAAAGTAGTTCTGTTTTTTTTCCCTGGTGCTTTTCAAGGAAGTGATTTTCTACCAAGATCCTGTTTACTTTTCCCTTGCAATTAAGTTGCAGAAAGACTAAATGTCAAGAACATGGCATTAGTTGGAAAAAATGAGCCACAACCATGTGAGGATAAACAGCCAGGATACTGTCGTGTCTGATTTAGTTACAGGTAGTTTAGTATTTTTCCTGCATTCTTTAGTTAGTACACTAAAATTTTGCCATGGTAAGGGCATGCAGTAAGGTTTTCAGCTTCAACTTTGCCATCTGTAATTTAGACGTGGAGAAATTGCTTCTCTGTTAAACAAACTGAAAATAGAATGTAAGTGCTGAAGTACTGTCACTATGAGAGCTGTAGTAAACACTTCACTGTCCCATGCAGATGCCTTACTGAGCAATCCCAAGCTCCTTCCACCAGCACATACGCAGCACAATTGCAGCAGTAGCAGCAAGATTGGGGTATGTTGGACCACATTTGGTGCTCTGATCAAGCTACTGTGGAGGGCGCCTTGGTCACCCACCTTTTAGAAGCAGGATGTAATATTCAGCACTTTCTTTTGGAAAATGGAAACACAGCTTCTGAACTATAAATGGTGTAACATGATTTTAATGTTTATTATTTCTAAAAGTTTGGTTTCAGGACATCTGTGGATGATGAATGTATCTTGAAATGTATCAAGGAATAATAGAGACGTGGATTACAAGGCCACTTCAGTCCAATAAGCAGTGTCTGAAGATGCCTCGTTTGATGACCAAACTAGTGTTTTTGGGTACCAGTAGGTATACATCAGTAAAACTGGACTCTCGTTCTTCTCTTCGGGCATTGCCTCGGGCGGGAATGGCACGGCATCCTGCCGCAGGGCAGGCCCGTGGTGACAGCCCGCAGCGGTACAGGTGTGTGATGTGCGCGCCCGCTGCCGTGGCCATGCCGAGTGACACGGAGGAGCAGCTGTTGATGACAGCCACAGCCGTGCCCCACTGCGTGCTCCAAGCCAGGCCCGCAGTCCCCGGGGTTCGGCTGCCCGCAGCCCGCCCGGGGCCGCCTCGGTGCCCGGGGAGCCCGGCCCCGCCTGCCGGGCAGCCTGGCAACCCGCGGCAGCAGCCCGGCCCGAGGCCCGCAGCGGCGGCCATGAGGGCGGCGGCCGCGGAGCCGGGCGGGCACGCCCGCGGCGAGCAGCCCCGTGAGCACGGCCGGCCCCGCTCCCCGGCCACCCCCGCCCCAGCCCGGGCCCGCCCCGCGGCGTCCCCCCGGCGGCCCAGCCGTTCCCCGCGGCTCTCACCGGTGTCCCCCGGCTCCGCCGCAAGTGCTGGCTCCGGTGCCGCGGGGCGTCCGCATCCCCCTTCAGCCCCCTGGAGACTTGCTGCAGCGAGACATCTTCTTGGGTGCCTCTCCATCTAGGGCCCTGCCCTGCGGTGTCTGTCACGGGGAGGCACGGTGGCCGGCTCCTCGGGTGGCCCTGGGGTGGCTTTGGCTACCAGCGCTCTCCGTCTGGGTGGAGCCACCACGGCCCTATCCTCTACGATCTTCCTATCCTGGGGAGTAGGGCCTGGCTGAACACTGTCATATGTTTGTAAATTTGTATGTGTATTGAAGACGGATGTAGAGTAGCCTAGCTTGACAATTGCATTCAGCAAAGTACATCGTCATTCAGGGGATTTATAATAACTGGTTGTTTTGTAATATATTTTACTAACAGGGCAGAAATGTGTATATGTTGAGCCACCTAGGAGAGTTAAAGAAATACTGGAGGAGCACTTTCATTTACAGAAAGAAGAATGCAACGTTAATCATCCAGCTGCAGGTAATCCTCCTTATCAGCAAACAGCAAGTGTTTGTCAGGACAAGTGATTGTTTTGAGGAACTGTGGCAAAATTACAGAACATTTATGTAATATTGTGCAGAACATTTAGAAACAGCAGAATTACATATAGTCTTTATTACTTTTTTTCTCTTTTTGTTTCTGGTCAGAAATTATGAGACCAGAGAGAACACAGATAATACTGTGTGATATATCAGTTTAATAAACCAGAAAAAATTGCCAAGCAGTAGGGAGGTTTTGTTAATTTTTTCTTTGAAAGAAATGCTGTAGTTTTTAGAATATGGTTTCTCTTGTGTAGGATGGAGACCCGTTTCTAAACTCACTCTAATTTAAACCAGTTGCATTCACAGACAAAAATGTACCTAAATTAGGTGATGTAATCAGTACCCAGCAGATGTAAATACCATTTCAGCCTGTAATTCTTATTATTGTGATTAGGCTCTGTAGGGAATTACAGCACACACCTGCAAATGACTGACCTAGGTAGCTTCTGTGTGTAGCAAGCAGAGGAAGAAAGGCACTTTGGACATTGTTTTGACTTGTCCTAGACACCTGTCATTGTATGTATCATGCTCTGAAAGTGTTCTTTTCCTGTTCTTTTCCTGTTGACTGAAAAGGGGCCCTGAACACAGATCTGAGTTGCAGATGTTAACACTGGTGTGCTCAATCTGGTCATGTGTCTAATTTTACTAAGAGCTGAACACAGCTATTTTTTCTGCATTCATCTGCCAATGGATCAAAATTGTCTGGAATATTTCAGTCTGGTTGAATAAATCGATATTACCTTATATGTTCTCATGACTTTTGAGGAGTGTCCCAAAGAAATGTATGTTACAAAGCCTTAGAGTACAAAGATAATAGAGAAACACTACACAAATATTTGTTACAGGACTGTGTAATATGGATCTATAGCAAGCTCAGTACAGAAATGGTATATACAGCATAATGTTATAGGCATAGCATAACAATGATAAATATGAAAAATATAGATGCTGGTGTACAGATTATTCCTCAAGTACTGAATTCCTTTTTCAGCTGTTTGGACAATTAGAGATGTTTACTAAGTGGCCTGGGTTCTGGTAGGCAACAACTGTGAGGTTAGATGGTTATGATTTACACAGTTTAGACTACTAAAGTGTATTGTTTAAAATAAATTAGATGGCTAGTAAATTGTAACCTTTCCTCAAAATAAATTAGCTTTTAATTTTGTTCTATGGTGATGGCTTTGGTTTTTTGTTTGTTTGGTTAGTTTTGGTTTGGGTTGGGTTTTTTGGGGGGTGGGTGTTATTTTCTCTATTTTTATGAGGGCATTTGGTATTCCAGTATGACCAAAGAAGGATGCTGCCTGCATCAGTGGTATTACTGCTGCTTCTTATTTATTATAGACAAACTATATCCTGCTTCAGTTGAGTGCCTCAGTAGTCCTAAGAGCTTCTATAAACAGTAGAGAGCATTATGCACCTTTAGCAATCTGAATTTCTCTCTGAAGATGTCAATCTGTTTTCATTAACTATGGAAGACTATTATTGTGTAGTTTTATATTAATTCTAGAACAAGCTGAAGTGATCAGTTATAAAGCTATTATTTTGACAAATTCTTAACAGCAGCTCTGGAAGAAGTTTGGAAAGTGAAGAACAATTTCTCCATTAGAAGCCCGAAACCAGTGTCACAGAACAGCAGTGACTTACTTTTACAGCCTCAATTCTACTCAAGACATGCAAGAATGAAAAGTAAGAGTCAATAATAACTGACTGTATTCCACTTTAGCACCTCATTTTGAAGTTGCAGGGCATCTTTCTGCAGAGCTAAGCCATCTCTTCCTTTAGTAAGTAGGCAATAGACTTTGAAATCTTTGCAGAAGAAATCTGTTCAGGACTGCTGTGTTGAGTCACCTTATTTCATATTCTGAAACCTTTTGTAAAGGTTCCTCATCTGTTTTGTGGAATAATCACTTGGTTCCTACTGATAGATGGTGAGTGTTGTTTTCACGTTCATTATGAACCTTACTGTTCTTAGCATCCAACCCTTAGAAATTCAATTGTTTGGAAAAGCACTCCTCCAGAACACCTGAAAAGAGCTTGATCTAGGTATTCTTTCAGGCATTTTAGTATTTGTCTGCAGTGGTCAGTGGTTGCTCTGGGAAATGTGTTTCTCTCTACAGTCTGTAGAGTGTAGCTTTTGTGGAGCAGACCTGTTCTTTATAGATTTTAGCTTAGTGTGTGCCCACATTCTCTCCTAACCTTACTCTCTTTAAACCCTAAGGAAACAGAGCTTGTTTGCTTTTTAAGAGGAATATTTTTAATACCATGAGTTTGCAGAATATATGAACTCAGCATATTTTGCCATTACATGAAGCTCATTCCCACGTTCTTGGGAGATAATGGTTTAAAAAATGACTAGCACCTCTTTCTTCCTCTCTTGATCTTGCGAGATCTGGAGATAGTGGCATCTTAGTTACAAGAGCTATTACTCCATTACTGGTATAAGAAGTGCTATTAAGCTATAATAGCCATTAAGCTATTACTGGTATAAGAAGTGTTTCACCAGGACAGCCTTCTGCCACACTGCCTTTACTTTAGAGATACTTACTTGTAGGAACAGACCTAACAACTACAGAATGACTCAGAGTTTTGAGATGTTGGCATAATTTTAAAACTCATGTACCTCAGGCTTCTAGTGAAGGCAAGCAGAGTTTTCAAATATCATTATCTTCTTCATTTCCTGCTCAGAACCGTGAAGAAGGAAGAGCTTTAAAACAAAGCAGTTCATTCAGAATGTGGTAGGTGCTGAAAATCTGTTGATTTTCCCTTGGGAATTTGGATGTACCTTCATTCCCAGGGACTGCTGCTGGAAACAAGTGGTGCCCTCCTCACTAGCTATGCTGCCCGTTTTGCAGTGGGCAGGCAGGCATCATGAGAGAAAAGGTGGTAGAAAAGATACATAATGGGAGAGAAACTGGGAGCACTCTAGCTTCAGCTCCTGTGTTCACCAAACCATCTCCATTCATGCAATCTTTTCTGTGTAAGGATCCGGGGAAGAAAGGCGAGACTAGTGGGGAGATGGAGGGGGTACAGGCTACAGAAATGGACAAAAGGGAGGAGACAATGAGAGAAGATGAGCCCTCTGTATTTAGTGCCAGAAGAGAGGAACGAGTGAAGGAAAAGGAAGGAGCACTGATAAGGGGAATGAAAGATGAGACATACAGAAGGTTAGAAATTCCTGAAGGAAACAGAAAAGAGGAGAATACAGTTCAGGAACACAGAAATAGAATCTGTAAAAAATGAAGGGAAAATATGCAGGAGATATAAACAGAAGAGAGAAAAAGAAAAAAATGTATTCGTACTGCTGAATTTACTTAAGTAAATGCATTTTGCTTCTTCCTTTTATTGCTTTTCCCTAAAAGTGACCAGTGGCTTGGAGGGCTCACTATGTGGTGTCTCATCTATCCTTAGAGCAGATGTTTTCTTTATTACAGATTGCTGAATGTCAAGGCTGTGAAGACCTGAGCCTGCTTTGATGTGTCAAATCAAACATCAGCAGTACTAGCTACCTTTGGAAATGTAGATGTTTACTTATAGGATTTTGAATAAAGTTCTAATTGAATATGGAACTATTTCCTTTTTGTTGTTTCATTCACATCCTCATACTACTTTTTAATCTGATGTTGTAAGTCATCAAATCTGAACCATATTTCCACCAGTGATGAAAATATCACAATCCAAAGATTAAAAGATCTTCTTGCTGAAAATTGTGCAACTGTGAAAATCAACATTTTCATAGTTTTCTCTTTTGCAAAGTGACTCTAAGTTCCAGCAGATGGTTTTAATGTAATTGATGAAATGGCTCATAATGCTTTAGGCTGAGTTCACTCATTAATCTGAGCATTTCAAAGGTGTTGCAGTAATGTAGAAAAATTATAAAAGAAAGGCTTCATAAAATCAGGCCTGCTCTGTTAGATCAGTGGCTAGCCTGTCATTTCTTCTAAGCAAAGCTAGCACTTTGCAAGTTCCCATGTGAAAACAATCCTGGTGTGAACAGTTTGTTAACATAACAATCTATTCCTGGGTGAAAAATAACTAGCACCCGCATAAACATTAAATCTATCCCATGAGAATAATTGAAGAAAGTATGTAAACAATTTAAGAATAGAGAGATTCGATAGACAAGAAAAATACCTTTTACTCACCAATAGAGTAATTGACAAGAAAGCTACTAACCAGTTGGAATCACACATGAAGTCTGTAAAACTGTGTAAAAAAGAACAGGCAGCAATCAAAAAAGTCTTTGATACATTGCTCGGTGTGTCATTTCTGTCCATCTCTACAAAAACAAGAAGGCAAGACTTTGTGATTCAGTATCTAGCCTGTTTCAAGTTTAACATAAATAAGCCTCTCTCCATGTAAGAGCTATCATAGTGTCAAAGAACCAGAGAGACAGCATGGAACCTGAAATAACTTACCACTCTCACTTTTAAACCATTATTACAGTGAGGTAACACCAAATTAATATTAGTTTGCTTTGTATTAATTAATATTAGTTTGCTTTGCATTATCATGCCACTTAAAAAAGAAATCTAGATCCTTTGTACTGTACAAAACCAGAAAATATATCGAGTCCTCCAGAGGCTGTTTCACCATGGATCTCTGTGTGCTACAGGGGCACAGCTGACTCACCATGGTCTTCCCCACAGGCTGCTCTGTCTCCTGGAGCACCTCCTGCCCCTCCTTCTCCTCTGACCTTGGGGTCTACAGGGCTGTTCTTCTCACACATTCTTACTCCTCTCTTCTCTGGCTGCAATTACTTCTGTGCAATAACTTTTTCCTTCTTTAATTTGTTATCCCAGAGGCACTACCACCATTGCTAATTGATGCTCAGCCTTGGTTAGCAGTGGGTCTGTCTTGGAGCCAGCTGGTATTAGCTCTCTTGGACACAGGGGAAGCTTCTAAAACTTCTCACAGAAGTCACCCCTGTAGTCAGCCCCCTGGTACCAAAACCTTGCCTAAGAGGTGGAGATGGGATTTGTTTCTCAGGCTCTCAGTTCCTCAGGAAGTATCTATAACACACTGAATATTTTTAAAAAGGAAGTCTTAGTGACAACTTTGTGAAAGTGGACTTTGATTTCCTTTGGGTTTTTTCTACAATTATCTGTGGATTAAATCAGATGTTTGTTCTTTCATTTTCTGGATCTCTGCTCTGACATTACAAGTTTGTTTCTATTTTTGTATCAGTGAGAAGGGGAAAAGAGAAAACCAAAACAGCACCTTAGCAGGCTTCAAGCCAATCTTTTCAGTGTTTCTGTTTGACTTCTAAATGAAAAAGGTTATTGTACTGAATATTGTACCTGAGGTGCTAGAGGAGTAGCTCCTTTTGAAAATACCGTTCTCACTTTTTAGATGAAAATCTGATCATGAATCACATAATGTTTGAAATGCACTGGATTTTCAGACAGAGACTTTGATTAGGCTTGTTTCATCTTGCTTCTGCTTTGTTTCATTTTTATCCTGCTCTCCTCTCCGTGCTTTCCCATTCTGTTTCATAATCTTGTTTTAAAATTTTCCAAAGGAGAATACTTTCTGGCTCTATCCTGGATTCCTGCACTAGCTCAGTTTTGGTGCAGCATTTGGTGCTCATTTTCTCCCACATTTCTTTTTTGTGTGACCTTTTACAACAGAGAAATCCCTGTTAGATCTTTTGTACTGAATATATTACCTCAATTATGAGGCCTAGGTAATCCTTACCTAGTCTGATATATTTGTGTTTGTGATCTTTTTATGTGTGTCCTCTGTTATTTGAATAAAACAAAGCAATTTGTTTAAATATAATATTGCATAACAATAATGTTATTACTGCTGTATTTATAATATCTTTATAATATTTGATTAAATAGGGTGGTGGGTAATTTAAATTAACTGTGCTCACATTTTATCATAGTGACTTTTTACTGTCTAACTGTTCAGCTCTCCTTTTCTCTTTTTTTATTATTTCATTGCCAAACTCAATGCTACTGTTTTGAAAGAAATTGTTATCATTGCTTAAGTCATTACACCATTGCCTGTATTAGTACCAGTGATTAAACACTTATATTTTTCCAAGACTACATATACATTATTAAGTAATGAAGCACAAAAGGAGAGGGTCAGTTGGTACTGAGAGCCCCATAACTGGATTATGTGTGGTTTAGAAGATTTACTTCAAATTAGGGCTAGTTTTGTCTCCTGGACTGAGATATGACCCCAACCCCTGATGTTCAAAGATGTCCAAAGAGAAGTTTTGTCACAAGTCCTTGCTCTCTGTCCTGGGAGATGTTCACTGGGTGAAATCAGTGCCGGTTGCACATCACTGTCTCTTGCCGCTGTGGCTGCATAAGATGACGTCCAGTGCTCAAACAAACCCAAGGAAGATTGAAATTATTGATAACTGCTTACAAATACCCACAGAGCCAAATTCTGGCTTGCTGGTACCTACGTATGTGTCAAAGTGTCTGAGGATTGTGTGGGACTGCTAGGAGAATTTTCTGCTCTGATTTCTGCTCTGGTCTACACTGGTGAACAGCAAAGCTGTATGCTTCAATGGAAGACTGAGGAGTGTCCTGGACAGGATCTTTCATTCACAGTGCGCACAGCACATTTGTTCATGCCTGTGCCTTGACCTGCAAATATCAACTTCGCATGGTTTTATTCCAGCATTGTTCACAGTCACAAGTGAAACTGTAGCCAGGCAGAATATTTTAACATTGCCTTTGGTGCATATGCAGAAACATGAGTTTATCTGTCTAGAAACTGTTCAGGCATCAACTTTCAACTGAATCCTCTCATTGTATTTCTAAATTTTAAACTTCCAAGCAGAAAGATCATAATACTACACATGAAACACTAGGTAATCAAATTACAGGCATTTAAACTTCATGCTGAAATACAAAGTGTATCATTTATACAGACAAAACTTTTACCATGCCTTTTCATAGAGAATTTAGGTTCTTACTTGGAAAAACTTGCATTGAAACCGTGGAGACTATTTATGAAGAAGAGACTTCAACATCATTCTTAGTGTCATTTTCGTACCAGACAGCATCCTCCTACTCTTTGAAGCTGATCATATTTGCTTATGATGAAAAACTCCACAAAGTTTCCCCACCTGACAGAATGTCTGGGTTGATAGCTGTGGCTGAAGACATAACCATGTCTTACAGTACCTTTTAAATTGCCTTTGTAAAACAGTTGACAAATAGCTTCAAAGACTTTTCTAGGCTTAAATATTTCTGAAGTATGACAAAACAGAGTGAGTCAGAGTAGAGGAGGAAGCCAGCTGGGAAGTTCCAGACAAAAATATTTTCTGCTGTTAGTGATGGCAAATATTCAACCTTTAAATAAGCAAAATATTTTTATTTTGCAACAGCTTTATTACTTACACACAGCGTATCATTTTAAATTCCTGACTATCAGCAACATGAGAACTTGCTGTGATTTCCTCAGAGCAGTTAAAGCACTCCTAAGCTGCATATATAGTGCCGAGAAGTCTGGGTGGTCCTCAGTCCATGGGGCTATCTCCTGGACTGACTTATCTCCAAAGCAGACAAAACCAGATGTGTTCCCTATGGGAGGTCTTCAGGCATCTGGCAACACTACTCAACCTTCATCATGCTGTACTTCTCAGTGATGTCCACGGAGTTTTTCTGAGTGAACAAAACTGCTTGACAAAACCCTGCCAGCACAAAGTAGCTGATGTGATTGTGCCACCGATGTTCTGTGTTTTATGGCAGAAATGAGGCAAACTGAAATTGACATGGGTTACTGCCTGGTTGGTGTTTATTTCTCCGGACAAGAAATGAGAGATTAAAAAGGGGAGAGAAACATTTGACCTACACACAGATCTGACACCTGACTTCCAACCTTGGTCCTGACAGTGAGGTCACTCCCTGTATCCCTCACACTACAGCAACACATCCCATCTGGCTGTTCAATTTACTACACCAAGGAGTCTGCTAGACTTGTAGATGAAGGAACAACTATCATTACTTTCAGCAGTGACTGTGATGAATATCCAATTAAAATGTATTTCTGCTATTTCCCATACTGGGAGGGTTTGAAGACAGCAGCAACAAAACAGTTGGATCTGTGATTTGTAAAAATTCTAAAATATATCTCAAATATACATTTCATCTTGCTCTAGATATAAATTCTATAAAGATTTTTGAACTAGTGGACTACATACAACTTGTAAATGTAAACATATATTTAGCTTCCACAGCAGCAGGTGTAACAGGAAAATTAATTTGAAGTGACAGTATTACTCACAGAAATTATTTAGGCTACTGTCCTCTTATCTTGAAATTATTAAATTATTATTTGCCATAATAAAACAAATATTATTATAGTTCTGAATGTCTGTTTTGTATATACAACCATAACTTACTGTGGATTTCAGTAATAGATTTTTTTTAAGATGCAGAGATATGTAGAGCTTTAGCTGATGTTGTGTTGAGGAATACAGAAAGTCATGTTTTGATTTCATACTAAATAATTCAACAGATTTGTCTTAATATAACAATTGTCTTAATATGGATGCCACTGAAGTGCAGATAAAAGTCACACTAAAGTTTCACTGTGAGACTGCAAAAAATCAAAAGTAACTAGGCAACATTTGCTATGAATCCTCACAAGGGAATTTTTTTTGTTGTTTTTTTTGTCTTTCAGATTTAGCACTATTTGGCTTATAAAGATTTCTATGTTACATTGTCCTGAAATATTTCATAAACGCTGAATTAATGTCAACATTTTTGTTAACTCACTATAGGCAAGATCAGGCCTTGCATCATCAATGTAACTAGTCAGGCTTTGAATTTGGAATGCTTAGCAGCAAATGCTTAGCAGCAATGGAAATGAAAACATGACTAGATGAAATTCCTTCAAAGTCATGTATCAATGCTGAAAGCTTCTGAAGAAAAATAAGAACTGTCATTGCAGTTGATATGATCAAATTTATTGAGTGAATGAGAATTCCATAAAAGTCAATTGAGCTCTCCCACTCACTTTCACAAGTCCCTGAATTCTCATATTATCCGCAAAATGTTTGAATAAACAAAATAACTAACAGTTGTGGGTTTGAACCATTTGGAATCCTTGATTAATGCAGACTAGGGATTGTGTTCATTTCATGCAGTGTTTGTTGTATCAGGTGGGCTCTGGATGGAATCTCCATACAGCTTAAGGCTTCACAGGATTCTACTCTTCCTTAGCATTGTATTTCAGTATTTTTTTGCAGTTTTCTACTGTAGCAAAGTAACTTTCCCATATTCCCATTTTGTGACTAAAACCAGTTATTTATCAAGACAGTTTATTTATTGCTAGTGCCGGCAATGATTCACCTCATCCACTAGAGTGAATTGGTGTTCCCTGGAAATCCCTTCCAGCCAGCTCTGTGTGTTGAAGCAGGCAGCCAGATACCAGCTCCAACCACAGCTGTTGGAATGTCATATATTTTATGAGTGCTTGCAGCATGGACTATGGAAGTACTATGTATACATTATGGAATGATTATGTACAATAGGTTTATGGGTGTACATGACTTAGTTTCTAACCTAACACCACCCTCACACAAAACTGTTTTATTTTTTTGAGTGGACAGACCTGAATCACTTTTCTTACTAACATAGAGTCAAGTCACAGGGCCTTGACATGTGTGGTACGCAAAATCTGTGCTGAAATCCAAAAAGTCAGTGAGAATTTATGCTTGGTGTAACTTTGCTGTCTTCACTAGATATATATGAGAAGACCTTGGATCAACAGCTGTTGGACGTGAGCATGTGCTATGTCAGAGTTGGAAACTTCTTCAGTTCTGTACAAACACTGTTTGAACTGTGTGAGTCAACAACCTCACAGCCCACTGAAGCAAATTGCTTAGGAAAAAAGTTTTGAGCCTATGTGACGTACTTTTCCACAGCAACTCTGTGATGCAGAACTGGAAAATGTAATTTTCTGGTAACTATGAGGTTTTGTAGTTTTTAAATAACTGTGAGATTTTCAAGCAAACATGTATGATTCTAAGAAGGTTGTAAAGGAGCAAAAAGAATCCTCTTTTAAAATTTATTTTCTTTTAGTTTTTCCAAATTGCTACTCCTCCTAGAGGTGCTTGAAATGGATTGAATTTGACAAGAATTCAAAGCTATTCTGGCAGCTGTCACTTCTTTTTTTTTATTTTTTTTTTCATATATAAGTGATTTATCCAAACTTGCTCTCAGACTCACTCTCTAAATTATATCTGTTTTTAAAAAAATCACCTGCATCTTTCAAAGGACTTCCCTGTGAGGCCACAGGACCCAGCAAGTAAGTCATAGCTCAGCTGGTGTGGGAAAACCCTTTTGCCAGAGTTTAAAACCTCTGGCTGTTAAAGATGTGGATTGGAAGAAATAAATGAGAATGCACTGGGAAGCAGCAGAGCAGTTCTACTTTCTCATGGGCAATAGGGCAGGGGAGACTGGAGACTGCTTGCCTTTGTGATGCGAATGGGCAGGGCTCTCCCGCCCCTGTGGCACTCTGCCCTGTGCTCCTACACGTGCTCATGTATGGGATTTGTGTGGCAAGGTTCTGCTAGTGACGGGGTGACAGGGGTGGCTTCTCTGAGAAGGTGCTAGAAACTCCCCCCCATGCCTAGTGGAGCCAATACCAGCCAGCTCCAAGACAGACCCACTGCTGGGCATGGCTGACCACATCAGTGATAGCAATAGCACCTTTGGGATAATGCATTTAAGATGGAAAAAAGTTACTGCACAGAAGCAATCGCATCCAGAGAAGAGAGGAATGAAAATATGCGAGAACAGACACCAAAGTCAGTGCAGAAGAAAGGGGTGGAGATGCTGCAGGGGCTGGAGCAGAGATTCCCCTGCAGCCCATGGTCCATGGTGAGGCAGGACATTCCTGGATGGAGGACTTCATGCCAGAGCAGGTGGATGCCCATAGGACTCTCCGTTGCTGAGCAAGGTTCCTGGCAGGATCTGTGACCCCATGGAGAAAGGAAGCCCATGCTGGGGCAGATTTGCTGGTAGGACTTGTGACCCCACCGGGGAGCCACGCTGAATCAGCCTGTTCCAGAAGGACTGCACCCTGTGGAAGGGACCCAGACTGGAGCAGTTCATGAAGAGCCGCATGCCATGAGAAGAACTCGCTTTGGAGAAGTTCAAAGGACTGTCTCCCGTGGGATGACCCACATTGGAGCAGGGGAATGGTGTGAGGAGTCCTTCCCCTGAGGAGGAGGGAGCAGCAGAGACACCATGTAATTAACTGACCGCAGCCCCCATTCCCCATCTTCTTGCGCCGCTATTGGGGGGGATGCAGAGAAATTGCGAGCAATGTTGAGCCCAGGAAGAAGGGAGGGGTGGGGAGAAGGTGTCTTTCAGTTTTGGTTTAATTTCCAATTACCCTAGTCTGATTTGATTGACAAAAAAAATTAAGTTAATTTCCCCAAATCGGTTTTGTTTTACCCGTGACTGTAACTGCTGAGGGATCTCTCCCTGTCCTTAGGTCGACCAGAGAGCCTTTCGTTGCATTTTCTCTCCTCTGCCTTGCTGATGAAGGCGGAGACAAAGCGGCTGTGATTAACACCCGGCACCGAGCCGGGGTCAATCCCCCAGAGGTGCCAGGGTGCGGGCTCCGTGAGACTCCTTGTGAGCGTCCCTACAACCTTTCCCGTGCGCGCTGTGGCCTGGGCTCTCACCGTGGATCCCTCCTGAGTGCGGAGACACAAATTCCCTCTGCAGCCCCGAGTCGGGCATGAGCAACCGAGCGGCCCGGGGCCGCAGCTCCCCGGCTACCGCGGCGCTGCTGCCGCACGGGGCAGGCGGCGGGGCCGCGAAACCCCGCCGGGAGCCCGAGCCCCGCGCTCTCCGGAGGCGGAGCGGCCGCGGCGGGCGGGGCAAGGCGGCGCCCAGGGACGGCCCCCGGGCCGGGAGGCGGCGGACGGGCCGGCATGGCCGGGAGGGGCGGTGGCAGCGGTACCTCCCCACCGCCGGGGCTGTGGGTGGGGGCAGAGCGGCGGCGGCGGCAGCAGCCCCAGCCCCAGGATGCGCTGCCCGGCCCCGGCGCGGCGGGTGCCCTGCGAGGGGCAGAGCGGCGGCAGCGGGCGGCGGGGATGGATGGGGCCCCGCGGCGCTGCTGGCGGCGCTGGCGGCGGCGGCTGCGCGGGCGGCGGTGGGCGCTGGCGGCCGGGCTGCTGGGCGCCGCCGCCGCCGCGCTCGCCCTGTACTCGGCTCTGCCCGAGCCGGCCCGAGCGGACGGCGAGGCGGTGACCGTGCTGCTGTGGTGGGAGCCCTTCGGCCGCCCGCGGCGCCTGCCCGACTGCCGGCGGCGCTACAACGTCAGCGGCTGCCGCCTCAGCGCCGACCGCAGCCGGTTCGGCGAGGCGCAGGCCGTGCTGTTCCACCACCGCGACCTGGCGCGGCACGGCGCCGGGGGGCTGCCCCGCGGGTCCCCGCCGCGGCCCCCGCGCCAGCGCTGGGTGTGGATGAACTTCGAGTCGCCGTCGCACTCGCCCGGTCTGCGGGGGCTCGCCGGGCTCTTCAACTGGACCATGTCCTACCGCCGCGACTCCGACGTGTTCGTTCCCTACGGGTACCTCTACGTCCCGCCCGCGCCCCGGCCCTTCGTCCTGCCCCGCAAGACGCGGCTGGTGGCCTGGGTCATCAGCAACTGGAACGAGGAGCACGCCCGGGTGCGCTACTACCGCCAGCTGAAGGAGCACCTGCCCATCGACGTGTACGGGGCGCGGGGGCTGGCGCTGGCCGAGGGCGGCCTCGTGGAGACCGTCTCAGCCTACAAGTTCTACCTGGCCTTCGAGAACTCCCAGCACACCGACTACATCACCGAGAAGCTCTGGAGAAACGCTTTCTCCGCCAGCGCCGTGCCCGTCGTCCTGGGACCTCGCAGGGCCAACTACGAGCGCTTCATTCCCCCCGATTCTTTCATCCACGTTGACGACTTCCCCAGCCCCCGGCTGCTCGCCACCTACCTGAAATTCCTCGATAAAAACAAACCCAACTACAGGCGGTACTTTGCCTGGAGGAAGAAGTACGAAGTCCACGTCACCTCGTTCTGGGATGAGCATTTCTGCAAAGTCTGCGAGGCTGTTAGGACAGCTGGGAGTCAAATCAAGACTGTTCAAAATCTGGCCAGCTGGTTTGAAAGCTGATGTTCCTGGCGGGCGAGGCTTGCCTGGACAGCCTGGGCCAAGTGTCAAGGTGTCGGGAAGGATGGGTCTCGCAGAGATCATTAGCCCAGGTAGTCGGCATTAGTCACAGGAGACTGGCATCGTTGGAGAAGCATACAGGTTTCAAATCAATCTCTGAACAGCCTACAAAAGAAAGATTTTTATTAAATAGAAAATTATGAAGGTACAAAAAGACATTATGCCAGATGATTCCTAAAGAGCAAAGTTAAGTTTCCAAAAGTTGTACAGTTACAGAACTTTTAAAGTTCTGCGCAGCTCAACATAAATACCTGATGCCAAATTCCTCAGCTGTACAGCTGAAACCAATTTTGTCGGCTATGACAACTTCCTGGACTGTGAAACTTTCCTCTGCTCACAGAAGATACATGATCAGTGCTGGTTTTCTGTAATACTAAGACAAAAATGAATGTTTTAAACTGTTTTTTATGCGCGTGAAAGGTATTTGCAGACAAATTCTGAGCCGCGAGTGTTGATTGTAAGAATCTTATACAGTAGCACCTTTTAGCAAGGCTTGAAATTGCAGCAGCCTGCTAATAATGCTTTGAACCAAATAATTATTCCATTTAGGAAAAAGCATATGGAGGGGACTGAATCTGAGTGGACAAACAGCTCAGATGATGTAAAGTATTTCTCCTACTACCTGCTGAAACCATAGGCATGCTTATCCTGTATGACAGTAGAGTAGAACTTTATGTACAGGAAAACACAGATTGTAGGGAAAAAAGCTGCAACACTTCCACCCTCCCTTTATTCAGGAATTAGAAAATGTTTACAGGTATCTGCATGTTTTTCTCTGGAAAGTTATTGCCATACAGGAAAATGCAGGGAAAGGCTCAGAATGGCAGGGGTTTTATTACTGTATTGAATATATATACAGAAAGGCTAACTTTTTTCTCAAGTATAAGTAGACAGTGCTGTTGTGTAGCAACTCTTTTGATTTTTGGCATGTATTTTTAAAAATTCTGCTGGGGGGCAGACTAGTCTTTTTGGTTTTTTGTTGTTTTTAAAAATAGTAATTACTAAAAACCCCACAAATCACTTCCATTCAGAAAGAAAATTACTCTAGAGAATTAGATCTACATTGTTGGTAAAATACAGATTGTGTGAGGAAAAAATATATAAAAGGAAGAATTTACTATTTTCTCTTCCTTTGGTTTTGAGTTCTTTTTGTGGCTCGGTTTTTTAATCAATAAATAGATTCTTAAGGTAGAACTCCCTTTGCTCAGTGCCTGTCAGGAACATTTACAGTAGTTATTCCCTTTTAGACTCCAACATTTGGCTGCAGCCATCCTAGAAGTGGATATGTGGTTACTTTTTGGTTACATGTAATCTTGCTCGACCAAAGCCAGAAAGAAACTTCAGTTACAATTACACATCCTTGCCAAGCTCAGCCTTCCTGTCTTTTGCAGCTATGAAGTTTGGTGGCAAAAAAATGGCAACCTACAAGAAACTTGCCCACATGACTAAGGTATTCATTCTGCTGCTTTTTAATCCATGGAGTTACTTAGAGACTTCATTCAGAGTAAAATCATGGGCACAGAACATTCCCACCTTTCCACAGGTGGGAAAAGAAGAAAGTCAGTTGCAAATAAAAGATGGGCAACCTTGCTGGCATTTGTGAGTCATATTTAGGTTAGGAAAGGATTAAATTTGATTTAAGCAGTATGGGATGTTGGATGAGTGCTTTTAAGATATATGAGCTGGCAGTCTACTGTAATTTACTTCTATTTAGATACTCCCCATGATGAGATACTCATGGAGCCAAGGATTATTGGAAAAAAAAAGGAATAATAATGAAGTTCATTAACAATTTGCACAGTTTAACAGTTCAGATTTTGCAGGCTTCTCCAATTACTCCCTTCTGCTTTAGTGCAAGGAGGGTTGGCTGAAAGTACTTGATGAATTTTTTGTTGTCAGTGCCAGAGCTGCTGTAGAATATTTACTCAAAGGGAGTGAAAACAATCTATGCAATGTGGAATATAGTAGGGATGATTCCTAATGCTGCACTTTCACTCTAAGAGGTATAAAGTGATTGTTTAAAGTACAAGAGTGTTCTTAATGGCATGGTCATCTGTTTTTCAATCAGTAGTTACTACTCCCATAATACTGGGTTTGATATTTTTAAAACTCCAATATAGGTATAGTATTAAGAATAATACCCAAGTGTCAGGATGATAGGTTCCCTCTTTTCCTTTGAATGTATAGTATTTTTTTTCTATTAATTTTTTGTCAAAATTTGCAGGACTATATACAAAACCCCAATCTTAAAAGTAATGAAATAATATTTAAGATTACACTACTTTTAATCAGTCTGCTGAAATCAGTGCAATTTTTTTCAGTCCTCCTAATTTTTTTAGCATTTTGTGAAAATTTCCAGGCACACAGTTCTTCTGTGTAATCATTAGTAATGCCACATGCAGAAGATTAGGCTGCAGGAGCATGGGAATTTCCAGAGATCACAAATGTTAATTTTCTTCTCAGCCTCTCTAAAAAAAAGAGTTGAAATCTTTGAGGTAATATTTTTGTAAAATTCAGAAAAGTGCTACAAAGCAATTAAAGCATCATTTGGGTAAAGTGTCAGAGTTGCACAGTATTTGTAAATTGTGCATTGAGAATTTTCAAGAACTGTACAGTGAAAACTGCAGATTTGTAATAATTATTGTAGAGCACTTGCACTGGGAGAAGAGAAGTCTTTTCTAATTTCATCATTCTTACATGGATGTTGCAAATTTGTGGCTTTCCATTTGGGAGGAAACTCAGCCCAGGCCTATAGATGTAGAAGTCAGCATTTCAGAATTTCTATAGATCTCTGATTTTTGGTCATCCACACCATGAGCTAATAGTGTTTCAGGCAAAGGACTGGCTTTTGTAATGCATTTTGTAGAGCTCTAGTTCAGTGATAAATGTAAAGTTTGCCTGAATGAACTGGTTTGTACATTGGGTACCAGACTCCACAAGGCATTGCAGATGATGTATACAATCCAGTTGTAAAAACTGGGGAAAGCTATTTTCTATTTTTAGTAGAAAAGTTTCCTTTAATACATTTTGAAAAAGTTTTTATTCCATGCCTTAAAATATTGGGGTGGAGGGAGAGAAAAGAAGGTTGTTATCTTCTGGGTTTTATAAGAAGAAGAATTGCCATTACCTTTTGGTTATGATGTAAATGGAATAGAGAATTATGTGATCACTCAAATTGCATATTTTATCTCAGGGAATTTTATACTGTAAGGTGTCTTGATCTTCATAGAATGAAGAAACTTTATATTAATTATATAGATTGACACTCAATAAAATGAAAGGAAGTAATGCGAAACGACCCTATTTTTCATTCTGTTGTCTGTGTTATGAAGGCTGAAGAAAACTGCTTTTTAAAGAGAATGAATGTCTTTTCATGTTTGTTTAATAAATAAAAGTGCCTGATTGTTCTCAGAGTAGTCAGGCCATCTGAGGTTAGGCATGAAACCTGGTTCTGCCAGGAGAAAAATATTTTCATAGGACAGGCTGTACTGAGTTATTTTCTATATGAAAAGGTGCATTTATTGAAGTCGGGTGTTGGAAAAATGTCATTTCAAACAAAATCAAAAAACAAAATTTCTCTTGACTTACAGAGAATTTGAATGTGGTTGGATTTTTTTTGCCCCCCTTAAATTTCAAAATGAAACTATGTTTATTTTGGTATTCAGCATGTAGTGCTTTATCTTCTTTTTTAGCTACAACTTTTTTTTCACAGTTGTTCATGGTTGTTTTCAACTGAGCGACAAAAGACCAAGGTCAAAATCTGTTTTCCCTAAGCTGTTAACACTGATTGCTGCCCAAGTGATGGGTTACCCCATTTTTTATTCATCTTCTGTACAGCTTGGTGCACAGTATTGAGAAAGCATTTCTGAAAATCCCTGCCCAGCCAGGAAGGGCTACAGACCTTGCTTTTCCCCCTGAGGTGATTGATGTTGTATCATTATCACATTTAACTTTTCTAAGTAGAGTTTAAACTGACTGCTTCCTTACTCCTGCCTGAGGGGGGAAACATTTTTTAGCTCATTTTCCAGATGGCATTGAACACTGGGTTTGGGAAACTGGTTAAATATTTTTCTGACAAATATTAGGTACCATTTATTCAATTTTGTTTGGTGAGTGAGTTATGCCTGATTAAATTCACACAGCTCTCCAACAGCCATATAAAATGGTGTTTGTTTTAAGAGAGTAAATAACCCTTCGTAGGGTGCACAGAGCCAACTCAATCTAAAATATGTTGATGAGAACACCGTGCCTTAATGTGGATTTAAATGGTGTTTAACTAAAGGTAACTCAGGATCCAAGTATAACAGCCTGTTTTTAATCAGTAAAAAAAAAAGTCGTTATTTGAATAACTTGCCTGTAACCAGCTTGGTTTATGTAACCAACTCAGTTTAACAATTTGCATAATTATGTGTTTTCTTCTGTGTGGTCAGTTAAAAAACAATACCCCAGGCCAGAATTTCTATGTCTTCTTTGCATTCTGAAGATTTTTTTATTTTATGGGCTTGAGCTAAATACTTAAGCTTAATTTTGACACAATAACAGCTGTTCCTGAGAGTCTTGCCCTGAAATTATCTGAGATAAAAGAGTCAAACCTGTTTTTTCAGGAGTGCTTTGAGAGCTGCAGGGTTTTCTCACTGCTGGTGCTAAAGATGTTCAGGAAGCATCAAGAAGATGTGACCCCCTTTTCATTGAAAAGTTTTCTCTAAAGTAGTACATTTCTGAATTCCTTCAATGATTTTAGTTCCTTATAATTGCATAGATTTAATTTTTGCAACAGATTTAAAACTGGACTTTATTTCAGGAATACTCAATATTTTAATAATATTATTTTAATAACTATGAAAAATTGTCCCAAATTTGGAACTTGAATTTTTCTCTATTTATCAAAACATCTTTTGAAGTTAATCAACCCAAGGTTGGCTGTATGCATTATGGAAGAAAATTCTACATTTGCATCCTTGAATTTGCCATTGATGTAAAAGATGCTGTTGATATTTTGGATTATGAGAAGCTTATAAAATAGGAAAACAGAACATTAGAAATGCCCAAGCTGTGGCCTACTATGGCTCCAAGATCCTGATCACATGAATGCCTATGACTGGAAATTGGCCATCTTGCTTTTAAGCAGAAGGATGATTGCAAATAGAAAGCATAGATTATCAGATTGTGAATGTATTTTGGTGCATTTGTAATGGTGCCAAATTATTTTGTGTGGTATAAACATGATTAATTTATTTGAAGTAAGCACAACATGACTACATGAAATACGGCAAAGCAATTGTCCTAAAGGCGAAGTTGGATTCAAAATGGAAAAATGATACTGAAATTAAAAAAAAAAAAAAAAAAAGACATGCAATTGTGGCAAAGCATGGGTAGACATTTTGAATTGTTAAGTGGGAACAAATAGAAAATGTCCTTGGAACTGCTGACTCTAGCCAGATTGAAATCGGAAAACACAGGTTCAGAGTTATGCTGGTACTCATGCTTACATCTACTTCTGAATAGGAATGGCCTCCTGAAATTAAGGCAGAGCTCTGAACTTTTTTATTCCCCTTCCAGTCCCAAGTGTATGTTTTGCTTGCCTTATTGTTTCTGTTCTCTGTCATCCACATGTTTCTCCTCAAATGTGCACAGACCTGAGGATATCTTCTTTAACGCCTTATTACTTTAGAGAAGGAGAGCTTAGAGGAGATAAGTTAATACATGGATGGTTGCTGGGAATTTTGGTTGTATTTTGGAAGTGTTCTGGGGTAAGTGCAAGTACAAACTGAATAGCAAACAGAAGCATGTTGTAGGGCAGCATCTTGTTGGAGACCCCAGCCTGGTCTGAAACATCTCAGTTGTTTTTAAGGTTGAGACTTTATGCTGTGAGTCTTCTATTTAGTGGTGAAGATTATTGTATCACGTATCCCCAGATAGTCCCACTGATGTATTATCTCAGAATAAAAGAATCGTAAGGTGGACTATAAACAGAGGCAGTAAGTCTGTGCTATGAAAAAATTTGTCAGGTTAATTAGAGCAGAACTCCCTGAGTTCAGGGAGTTGCTGAGTTTAGTAAAGAATTTTTCATGGGACTGCTGATACAGAGGACATGAAATCTGGTCTCCTGCTCAGAGTCCAGGAGAGAGGCATTCTGGAGCAGCTCCAAAGCAGCATCACTGCACATAGTATGAGTGAGCTCCATGTGGGAGATAGAGAAGATAAAGAAATGTCACCAAAGTAGTGGGATTTTTTAAAGTTACTGAAGTGCTTTGAACCCCATTGCCTAAAACATTTGAGAAATGCAAGGCACTTCAAAACCGAACACAAAAGGAGACTCTTTTGGTCACAAGCATAGACTTTAACATAGTCTGAGCATGTTCCCATGGCTAAAAGCTGCAGAAACAAGCCTAAAAGCTCCCATAGGCTTTTTCCAGGGTAAAAAGCTTTTTCCAGCCAGAAGAGAGAGAAGAAAAAAGCAAGGACATCACCAAGGCTGTAAAATAATTGAGTTAGTTGAAAAGTTTGCAACAGCCTCACTGGCAGCCCCAGTGACCTGACCAGGACAGGGGCTGAGGGAGGGTTCCTCTTGGATTTCACATCTGGGAATAACTTTATCCCGAGCATAGAAGCAAGATACACAATCCTTTCAGCTGAGCTGAGTATCGTTAACAGGGCACTGAGGAACAAGTTAAGGTACATTTCCAGTGTTTCAGAGGAAAGATGAATCTCACTCCTTCTCTTGTGAATGTGTGAGGCAGAGCCATAAGCTGCATTCCTTGCACTGGTTAATGACTTATGACATACAGTGGGAAAAATCTTTTTCAGACATTGCCTCAAGGGCAGAAGTGATTTAAGCCAACCTTTTTTTAAAAACAATGGTCTTAGAACTTGACAAGCTCTTAAAACTGTCCAGCCTCTCTAGCTGGCTGTGCTGTGGACTCTTTAACCAGTGTCTGCTGGTTGTGGGACAGCTACACATGCTATTTAGGCATCTGAATAGGATTTTTACTGTTTAAAATGCTCAATTTCTTCCTTTTGCTCTAGTGGTTGATGTGTCTAACTGTGACATTTCTGCTATGGATCAGCCTTCACGTCTTGCTTCCATTTCCCTCTCGATGGACTGCTGGCCAGCTCAGCTGCTTGGGCAGGTTAACCTGGACTGTGGGTTTTAATACTTAACAGAAAAGTAGCATCATGAAACAAAAGGTATGTATGTGGTTTTCTCTTTCGCTGGCCTTTTGGGATTTTGGGTAGTCAGGCTGGGGTTGGGCAGAGAAGGAAAGTGAAATGTAGAACTGAGTGATGTATCTTCTTGCTTTACCTAAATCTATACCCAAAGAATGTAAGAGCTTCTAGAAGATACCTGTCTCTAAAAGCCAAACTGAAGAAATTCTCTCCATTTGTCCCGTAATGTTCCCCACGACAGTGGCAGAAATGGGGACGGAGAAATCTCCATTTCTGATTTTCTGAACAGCTGCTTCTCTGCTAATTCAGATTTGATCCTTGATGGCCTCAGAGCACTCCCTCATCTCGTATCATGGCTTGTTCACCTGCTTGATCCCACTGAAGTGCAAGGGGTTCTGGACTGTTTTAACCTGCTCTTGGGGCCATCTGCTTTCCTCTGGCAGATGTGTAGGGCCTGGAGGGGACAGTGAGCTCTGTGTGTGAGTGCTGGCATCTCAGATCCCATGCTCACATCTACCTGGGGGATCCAGAGAAAGACTGATCATACTGTTCAGCTCCTCCCATGTCTCCCTCTGCCCCTGCATCTTGTCAATTGTCTTAATAGTTGGGCAGTATTACTTGCAGGCTATGCTGGCTCTGCACAGAAAAGCCATGAGACAGCAGGAGATCATATCTTGGCCCCACATATTCAATCCACAAGACAAACCCACAAAGTAGCCCAAATATCTCTAAGTACACCTTCTGTGAGGCATCGGATACTTTAGAAAGTCTGATATCTAGGCCAGATTCTGTGTCTTTTGTAATTAATTACTTAATTTATTTTGCAAATGCTTCTTTAAAAAGGCAGAGTGTTATACTGGCTGAAGAGAAAGTAGTCTGCTTTTTTTTCCCCCCCACTGGAGTATGTGCGGGCTGCCAAAAATTTCTGGTTGCTTGGATTATTGTTCAGCCACATGCTGCTTGTAATATTCTGTCCACATCCATGTATCCTGTGGATTTCACAAGTGGTTTTGCGGTATATAAAGTGTCATCAGCTCTTGAGCAAATTTCTGCATCTTATTGGTCTAGACCACAGTGTGTGCTATGAAGCCAGTAGCTGGAGCAAGACTTTTAAAAATAGATAA